TACCAAATTTTTCAAGGTTTACAAGCCTACATTTAAACAAAATACCGCATTAAAGCTGTTTTCATCATTTTGTTTACGTATTTAGGTGAGAGTCTAGGAACGTGATATTTTTGGTATTCACCTGGTAAAAAAAAAGTTAAGGAGTTGAGGACGTAGATACTTTTTCACTTTAACAGCTCCATATAATTGTTTTACTTTATTCATTATTATAATAGTTGTACATTATGTTTGAAACCGTCATTGGAAAAATTCTCAGAATAAAAAAAACAATGGGAGATTCTAAAAAAAAATCAAATATCGTTAAAAAATCAAACGAATGTCAATGGCAAAAAATCATCTGGAAGAAAAAAGTTAAGGAGTTAAAGACGTAGATACTTCTTCACTGCAATAGCTCCATGGATTTTTTTTGCTTAATTCATTTATTTCGTTACAAATTTAGTTAATAATAAAAACTGCACACGTTTGTCACTGACAATTGACATGGTTTTGGCCCTTGAAGATGAATTGTAGCTCGAATAAGCGATCAAAGCTGTTGTGTATTTTGTAGCATTGGCCCATTGATTTGAAATGAACTCTCGATTGATTTCAACATTTACAAAAGCGATTTCGGCTGCTTGATATTTGTTTCTGATTTTAACGGTTTTAATTGCCATCAGTTTACCTGTTTTCAGCAGGTAGGCCAATAAAGAAGAGCTATTATTGAATTCTTTTGTCACACGTTCTTACCCTTTCAATGTGTACGATGCATCTAGTACAAGGTCATCAAGAGGTTTTCTTAGAAATCATCATTGTTGGGTTTTTGAAGATCATTCTAGAGATTGCTTTGGAACTACATTTTGACGAATTGCAAACATATACAAATTGGAATGCTTTTGCTTTCAATCAACAACGCCCACTTGCTTTAAAATATGCAATGCGCATGCTTATCAGCCGCCAACATGTGCAAATATCGGTGGTTCTTCAGTTCAGAAAGAAAGAAAGAGATATCGTTATCAACATCCGTTCATATTTGATCATTCTTTTGCTGATTTGCTGTCTAGTTTAAATTGAAAATTTATTCATAGACAATGATTAAAAATACAAAAAAAAATATCAATAAACTTAATATACTAATTAAATTGTTATTGCTGAAGCAAACAGCTACTTGTCCAAACAAAATTTAGGCAATGCATTTGTTAATCAAAAATTGATTTAAAATTTTTTGAATGTAATAACTGTGCACTTCAAATTACTTATCAGCGTTTATGGTTTTATAATTATGGTTATGGCTGTTTCTTTTTTTGTTTGTATTAGGCTATTTTTTTTTATTTTACTTCATCCATTTTTATGTATTTTGATCTTTAATATCGGCCCAGTGGTTAAAAAGTTATGACTACCCTAATATGGAAATGGTCACCCTAATGACAAAATAGAAAAAAACGGGTTTAATATTTTGCGAAAAGCAACAAAACTACCATTTTTTACAAAATTCTAATAACCACTATATCACTATGGAATGACTGATATAAGGTGCACCGGGGCATTGGGACCTGAACATTTGATAGTTCAGCATTATGTACTTGTGCAATCATTATTTCTAAAATTAAAATGTACAATAATTATCTGTTTTATATTCGAAATAACAAATAGGTCCAAATATCCAAATATTCAACACACAAACATCCGAAAAATGATATTCAATAAAGGCGCATTAGGTCTCACTTTCCTCTTATACCGGGGCAAGTAGGACCTATTTTGTATTTTCAATATAAATCTCGAAAAAAGTATTTATGGCAGAAGCTCAACAGTATACATAATTTGACATATGTAGATTTGTACATATGTTTGCGGATCATCCAAAAATACTGTTACGATTCGTAAAGGCAGTACTTCGGATACAAACAAGACAGAATTAATTATTTAAATAGAGTCAAAGATAGCGCTTTATGAGGACGGGTAAGTAATGTTAGTGAGCTGAAGTTTTGTCAATAGATCAAATAAATGATCGGAGTGCTAAGTAGCCTACTTAAAGGCGTCTCGTGACGTAATTTAGAGATAAAGTTTTATGTAACACATACAAGTTAATATACATTTAACTCATTTCATTATTCTAATAATCCAACCAATTGTTAATGCAATCATGATTTAATGTCCTGAAAAGTTTTGTAAACATACTTATAGTAGTTTCTGTTGATACATATTGTTCGATTTCGCAAAATCTGTATGTATTTATTTGATATACATTACTTTACACAGTGAAAAATGTTTTATTGGCAATTTTTACTGAAATTGACTGTGTGGGGCTAGTGGCAGATGATCATCACTTGTGTATTTAATGAAAATGTAATGTTTTTGAACAGAAATAACTACAAGTGTACAAAAAATGCTCATAAAGAACCGATAGCATTAATTTCACACACTTTGTTTATATAGGTCTCACTTGACCCGGGCCATGCAATTTAACGTGACTTTTGAGTTTCATGTGCTATTGATGTAAATTATCTAACAAATGAATTTTTTTTATATAAATTTCTTCAATATGCTTAGAATGATTACCTGCTGCATGCAAACAGGCCTATTTTAAGTAATTTTTTACAAAATGCTTCAAAAAGATTAGTGTGTGTGTAACTTGATTCGCTAGTTCAAAGTGACATGTAAGCAAAAAGTGTGTCCTGGCGACGAGGATGGCAACAATAATCATTTTATTGTATCAAATGTAATGACACTATATCTATAATCTTCAGGCGGTCAAAAACAAACCGTTCAAATTTACCCCGTATTCTAACTTGCCCCGGTGCCTTATATATTTGATTGAGTATACTCACAGACAATGTTCCAATAGTAATTATTTTAAATGTCGTAGGAAATGATTTGTTAGCTACATTTTGTTTAGCTTTTGAGCTCTTCATAAAAGAAGAAGTTAGGTTAAGTTGAATTCATTTGTGAAAACTATAAAAAATATCGTTAGCAGCGACAAAAAATCCTATTATACACAGCAAAAAAATAATTTTGATATCACATCAAAGTGGATGCACTACAATCATGTCGAAAATTTCATGTAATTTTTATGACCACATAAATAAACAAATGCAGTAAAAGCAGCGTAATGTCAGTTCATGCATTGTATTAATGATAATTTTGTCCTTTTTAGCAAGTAATATTACACCATATTTTCGACATGATTGTAGTGCATCCACTTTGACGTGATATCAAAATTATTTTTTTGCTGTGTAAGAGAAAGAACGTTATAAGGGGTTGTTCATAAACTATACAGACTCTTTAGGGGGGAACGATTGTCTACACGGGGGAACGAGGAGGTCTAAAACCTCTAAAAATCGGTCCCTAAGGTCCATTCCAGGTGACGTGACACGAAGATTTTCGGTCCGTGATAACTTATTTTTTGTTCAAAACTTATAATAAACTGCATAATATGGCAATATTTGTGCAACAATTGAAAGTACACATGATTTGCCTCGTTTTTCAATCAATAATTAAAATATAGTCATTAATCAATGCTACTAAAAGTAAAATACTGCGACCTAAAAATTGCATTTTCGGCTTTAACTTTTTATCATTTAAATTTTCCGGTAATTAAAAATGTTTTGATATTACTCAGATAATTTTAAACATGTGTTTCAAGCTTTATCAAAGGAAAACCTCGATTTAAAGTAATAACAACACAGAAAATAAGAGATGTAGTTGAAAAGGTGCGGTGATGAACATTATGGAATTGGTCATAATACTCCAATAAAATTAAAAGATACATTTAGTACCAAATGAACAGTTATACTACTTAAAGAACAGCTTCTCCATCACGTGTTGCGAAATAAATCTTTTTCAAATTGTCTTATGTTCCATTACTGATTTAGTTACCCTTGCACTTTTGCAGCCATTACACATCACCAATGAATACCTTCCTATACCAGTACTTTTTATCTTTTAAGCGCTTAATTGGTGAACGACTAAAGTACCTCCACCTATACCCTATGTCAAGCAGAAAATCAATCGAACAAATGATCTATAAATGATGCACTATGCTGCAGAAAAGAAGTGTTGAATATTGTTATTTACCCCATGATTGAAATAAGATCTCGGAAGGGGAGCAGAAGCCGTTCCACATCCATTTTTTTCAATATTAGGTTCATACGTGAAAAATGACAACGACACTGTTACAGAAATAGATTTGCATCTTCAACATAATAAACAAGACTAGCAGGATATTTGCTTCAAGTATCTTCACAAAACAGCGTTACAAATACCGCTTCGAATACTGTTCTAGTAGATTACCGAAGGCTCATTCATTGATTCCCACGGCTCCATAAAGTTTTTACCACCAGCAATCACCCAGGATAGCACACGACTAATCATATTATGATGTAGATTACAGTCTTTCAAACAGTTTATGTCATCAATGCTATCCATAAGAAAATTTATGCTTCGGTTACAGGTTGTAAACAAGACATGTCACTAACACATTGTAGTACCGGCAGCAAAATCGACGAACCCAGTTATGTTGGTATCTCTTTCTTACTTCCTTGATCAAAGCTAAAGGGGCGTGGTTTAGGACTGATGTTGGCTTTTTCTGTTATTACTATCTCTTTTACAACCATCGTCAAGAGCGACTCATGTGGCCACAGCTACTAACGCAGAATAACCATGAATGAAAGGTATGGGCAAACAAAATCGATGAACATGTTTTTTGGTAAAGTCTTGAAGTCTTGTGAGCACACGAACATGTTTTATGAAATTTGCTCAATAAGTGAGCCCACATTCATAATACTCAATCTTTTCGAGACAAATACGAGAGAAAAAGATAGAAAACCATAGTAACTTCTTTATACTCACCATGCGAACAGGTTTTTAGGCTTTCCCGGTTGTTTGTTATGTGACCGTTAATGTTCGTGGCTTTCCTGCCAAATCGATGATCGACTGACTTTTGAGTGTATGCGTGAATCATCTGTACGTCAGGCATGTATGGTAAAAGTTCTACAGTGCTGAACATCAGAAAGCATGCAGGACGCGCACACAAACGACATTCGGCAATCGTTGAGAGTAGTGATATTTTTCGTCCACATGATGTCGAATGAAATAGCAAATTCCATGAAGTAGTTAGTCAAACTCAAACACTGGCGCTTAAAGCACGTACATTTTTTCCGCGAATCGGCCTCACGAGAACAAGTGAATTTGGAGATTTCGGAATCGGTCGCTGTTTTCGTCTTAAAATCGGTGAATTCAATCAGTGACAAATGTTGAATGCCTGCAATTATTGTCAGTGTAATTTCTGTGCTGTGTGAGACTATCGTACTAAGAAGTTTATAAAAGAGAAAATCATTCAGCATCAGCATAATCATGTGCAGTGAGTGAATAAAAAAAAATACTATTGTCAACAACGGATTATGGAGCATGTAATGCAATCTGAGAAATTCAAGTGATACAAACTATACTGGACGGGAAAACACCACGTCGTACAATACCGTTGTAAGGATAGAGTGCTGTCTTTGAAAAGTTCTTTGAACCAGAGCTCTAGGATCCGAATTCATTACGAAAAAGTGAGTGCTTCTAATCAATTAAACCCGATTTTTATCAGCTGTTATTAAAGAAAAATTAAATCGATGATTTGCTAGGCATTGATGTTATATACAAATGTCTAGGAGTGAAATTTGTTAGCATCTGCAGTCCTGAAATTCTTGATATCCATTTGTTGAGCCCAAAACTGTAATACCTCCGTCAGTGTCAGGTATTGCCAATCTGAATTATACTTTTTACTGTTCCAGTTGAGGCTCCGCCGCTACGCGCTCTTTTGCCGGATATTGCCTAGGCTTTTCTACTACTCGAATATGAGGAAAATTCATGAAAAGTTTACTCAGTCTAGGAGTATACTAATAGACTGAGTGATACTTCTAATGATTTTCCTCATATTGAAGATTTTTTCCAGGAAAAACCCGGACAATTTAACTCACTTTTGAATAAATCCTCTTTTGCCAAAATTGAGTCCGTCTGAACGATCGTGTGGTGGCTTCTAGTCCTGAACTTGCCTTCAGATTTCATTTACCCATACGTTGAATGTATTTTATCTGATGTCGACTTCTTATGGCACCGGCAGTGTAACTACGCGTTGTAAACCCAGTTTTCAGATTATTAGGCAAGTATGATGCATATCTTCAATTCGGGTATTCGGCCCTCACCTTGCGATTTGCGATCATTCATTAGGTGAAAAGATTTGTAAACTACAAACATTGCTTACTTCCTCGCAGCAATTAATTGATTATAGCTTGAATTATATACATCCACAAAAAAAATGTAATAACTTTTAACTTGATAAATTGCGATGTGAACATAGAAAAATGCTTTACAGCGCAACGATTTGGTCTCAAAACTTGAACCTAATGGAATCTGAAATAACAAAATCTATTCGAAGATTATATAGACATTACTATCGGAGCCTTCCTTAGCTCAGTAGGTAAAGGTGCAGCTACAAAGCAAGACCATGCTGGAGGCAGCTGGGTTTGATTACCAGTCCGGTCTAGGAATCTCTCGGGTTGGAAAATTTCTCGACTTCCCTGGGTATAGCTGAAGATTACTTACTGACTAAAGTTAAGAAACATAAGTAATTTACGATTGAAAACATCAGACATGCTCAATCAGCTGCTCTTAATGTTATCAATATCTTTAATCATTAATAACTATTTAATTTAAATATCATTATTGAATAAGACTAGAAGTCAAAGGACACAACGATTGGCATTCCCATATGTTCCATATAATGGTTTTTATAAATTCATTCAGTTTCAACGTAAATGAGTTCATCTTTTGGTAGACTAATCAGAACCCGATTTGAAACAGTTTTTGAAAGGTGGCGCGAAAATATCCAAATTTGAATCATTTTACTGTCCACTCGTATCACGTGGACTGCAGACGGGTCTGGCATAGTAATTAGCATATAACTCTCACGTTATTGCTTACAAGTTCAAATTTTATCACCGGACGAGTCAGGAAAGACTTTAAATTTGTTTAACAAAACCTGAATTTATCCACCTATAGCGAGATCTGAGCCTTCTAACTAAATAACGTATGACTATCCTTGAATGCCTATGGAATATAAAGTGTCTTATGATGGTCATGCTTTAGGATAGTTCTTGAAAATTTGCATGGATGATCTACGCAGGAGGAGAAGCTGATACCGTTAAAAATTTTGTTTATATGAAAGCTGTGTTTTGGATTTTTCGGACTCCTAAAACGTATGCACACAAGTTTTATTAGTCTAAAACTAATATAGAGCGAATACTTGATTGATCTAGGAATTAAACCCGAAATCAAGCATTGGAATTCTTAGAAAGTTCTCAATTTTTAACTGTATACATCGCTTAAAGGAAAATTTTGTTTGTATGAGGCTTAGGATTCAGTACACAAGACATAGTTATGAAAGAAGTTAACAACTTAAATTTTAAGTTTAACCAATATATGAGGTAAGCAATATGTATTTAATGATTGCAGAGTGTCATTATTTTTTTTTCATTAGAGTCTTGAAAGGTTCAGAGAACTATTTCGAATGAGTCTGTTAATTTTAATTAGTACACACTCAAGGGAGATTTAAAAGTAAAGAAAGCAATTTTAAACGATTCAGATATTCGTAGCTTGCACATTCAAATTAACCTTCAATAGGGAACAACAGGCAACGTAAATTAAGGAGAAGAAGTGATAATAATTACGCTTACGGAAGCAACTTAATTGGTGGCATATAAGCTTTCCATTCTAATTGGACAGAACCTTTTAATTAAACTTTTGTAAATTGAAAAAAAAAAATATGAAAATTATATTCTTCTGCCTCTTTACTGATTATCTACAGTTACTGATGTTTGAAATCGTTTTTCATGGAAAGCTGTTCTTTTAACGAAGACAGCAGTATACCCTACGTAGACAGTTTATGGGTGGTTTTAGACTCCACACACTTGTATAAGAAGCTGCTCACCTACTTCTTCTTTGGTTATTACACCTCAACTGGAACTGTGAGTCTGCCTTCAATTTAATGTTCTTGGCCACTTCCACAGATCTTATATGAGTACCCAAGTAACACAAATTCATGCAATTATGCTGAGTAAACTTCTTTAAAATCAAGTCCTGTTATGTAAAGGTTATGTTAACTATTAAAGAACTTTCGTGTTGCTTGGGTATAAAAAGCGACGAAGACAACAAAACGATTAAACGTGAAACCTTAATTTTATTAGCATTTGCGTACAACTATTATCATATTGAATGTGGTGGTGGGTGGGGGGTGGGTTAAAATGATATTCGATGATTAATTGATAGTGAATGCTTTAGGAGGTGGATGTTTGCATAACATTTGAATGCCTCTGCTAAAAATAAAATTAAAGATTCATAGTTATGCAACCTGATTTTCATGGAAATTGATTATTACTCATAAATAACGCAAAAATTCATTGCTTTAGTTATGCAGGAATGATATTCATATTTAATACAGAAATTATAAAAAAAAACTCAATTCATATTACGATATTTGCATACATTGTCCTGTCCTAAATCTTTCCAAGTTTCCATCATATTAAAAAAAAATGGCATTTGTAATCCAATTCTTAGCATCTTTCATTTGTTTTTTTATAATACTGTAATTATAATACTGTATTAATTTTCAGCCGTGGGCTGCTTCTTCACATACCTTTTGTTTGGAATTTATTGCTGAAGATCTTAAGTTTTGAAATTGGGAAGCGGTTATAACAGTTTCTGAACTTTTTGTTTGTAAAATGTTTTAGTTGGACTTTGTCTACATAAATAAAATAAGTACGCATTTTGAGAATGGCGTCACATGTTTTTGTTTTATGCTTGCATTATCTGACCGCGTAAAAACATTATTGAATGTTCCACTTATCATAAAATAAAAAAAAAAAAACAATAAGTGGTGTATAATCAAGACGAAAATCTCCTAAAACAAGAGATAAAAAAGCAATACTGTAATATTTATCGTATTCCAGACGAAAGTATCTGCCCATTATACCCTGTCTGTCCATTTTGCTCCCACCATTCGTCAGATTAGTCGATAAAGTTTTTTAGTTGGAATTATTCGATAATTTTATTAATGAAGACTCAAATGTCGGTCTATTTCCTTTAAACTCCGTTATAATTGCTTGTCTTTTGACAGATACGCAAAAAGATAAGCAATTATAAAGAAATTTAAAGGAAATAAACCAACACACTCAAAGTTCTTCATAAAAGGGATTTCGTTAAGAGGTTCGACAAATTTTAAAGATTTTTTTTTATTAATTTATATGTCGTCGCACGCCGTATCCGATCTGTCATCTGACGTCTAACATTAATTTATGTCGGATTTTTCTTTAATAAAAGTTAGTTGGATGATTCAGTGGGTAAAATGAACAATTTGTAGTGATGAAATAATCGAAATTCTGAATATGAAAACGGATTATGAGAACAAGATGCATCGATTGCAAGGGCTTTGTGCTAAATTGATTGATATTTTGATGAATAAGTATTAAACATCGTATTTACGCGTCTATTTTACCCATTATATATTTCCATATAAATAAATGGTACGGGTTCACAAAAACCGTCCGATGGAAAAATGCTTAAATTTTTTTTCCAGTGATTTATTTAAAAAAAATGATGAAGAAACGTACACCCAAACTAAAGATCAATACGATAAAGATAACCCACCACCCTACGGATAGACATTGCATGACTTTCCTGAGCATAGGCATCATCATGGCAATTTAAACACGAATGTAAAAATGGTGTACATATTACGAAAGTTCAAAATTTAATAACATTTCACTGCTTGTAAGCGTTATAACCAAAAGCTTCTTATAGCCGTTCAAAAGCGAAGACTTAAGCTTCACAGACTATGTTCATTCAACCTGGTGAAACACTTTTAAAGCAGATGGTATCGTGGAGCGTGACTTTAACTGCAAGTTATCTTGGAATCAGGTGGTACGGATGGACAATGGTACTTAGATCCCAATGAGATCCTTAGTCTATTTTTTTTTCCTGTGTTGGGGACATAATACCACCGCGTCACTCTTTATGCTACAAAAGCGACATTTGTCTTAATGCAGTTTATCAATGGGTATCAGGTGATATTGTTCTGTTATCAAAACAGTGGATGTACTCAAATCATGTTTTGAAAGGTTAAGTATCATTTGTGTATGAAAAGTGCTTGGCTTTATAAAATGTTTTGATAGCTGAGGATTTAAGGTAGTCTTCCAGTTGTACTGTATATTTTATCATTAGCCTATTGTCCAGTAACTCCTATACCCAACAGCAGCACAAAAACATAATTCTGAATTTTATCCATTGCCTAAATTCTCCACTCGTTTAATTTTAAGTTATAGTGAACAACAAAATTGTTTACAAGGTTTTATGCAACACTGCTGGTTTATGTAAAATTGTGCTTAAATTTACATGAAATATCGGTGTGGAGTACGAGGAAATATAGCATAGATCGGGTAACCAACCGCGGTTGAACCTTGGTGGGAGGGAAAAGGGAGTCCTCGCTCCAGAGACGCATGTTAGGGGTGGCTGA